ACCAGAACACCAGCAGAGCTGATTTAGAGTCTGTTCTCTGAGTGTTCAGCAAGTTCAGAAATATTATTTTAATGGGTCTTTTCAGATAAATTGCTATTTCAAACTGAGTTTGTCTACAAGTGATTACTTTTCCTCTTTCAGAAGCACCGGTACAAGTGTTCATGGCTTTAAAGCAAGTTGTGACTGTATTCTGGCTTTTAGTGCCAAGTATCACTACAAAACATCTTAAATAGGAAAACATACTCCAATTAAACTGTCAACTGATTAGATGTTTGAATAGGTTTTCTCCATAAGAATCCGATCAAACGTTATGGCTTTCTGGAAGACGAGTCACTATTGGGAGGTTGTAAAAGTTACATCTGTGTCACTGACCTCTTTATGACCTGTTTAATGGTTAAAGGTAATAAAACTGCCTTTGGAGGCGTGTTTGAGGTGGATTATTGGTGTCAGGAGAGCGATATCTGACACTCAATTTGTCTAAGATGACACAGTGTTTGTTCAGGGGCAAGTTGGGTCAACGCTGAGGAGATCCTTCCCACAGCCCTCAAAATACGGAAACGTTTTTTTACCTATTTTATTGGCATTCTGTCTCATCTTCTCCAAGTTTCTGAACAACACATTACAAGATATTTCCACCCAAATCTGACTGGGGCAGATAATAGAAAGCATTGTCTGACTGGAAGTCTCTGACCTTGATCTTTGTTCATACATTCATTTACTAAAGTTCCAGTAAAGCACTCCAGGTGGGATTTGAACCCGTATCCTCCTGCTGTAAGGGGACTTATTGCACGCTAATTTGATCAAAATAATTTCTGTTTTTCTTTCTTCATATGTTGTTGAGGGGCCAAAGAAAGACTTCAGACTAAAGAAATCCAATATTCTTAATATTTTTCTTTGATCAGGCTTTAAAGGGTTAAGTTCTACATAAAAAAGCCTGGATGGTTAAAAAGCTGAGAGAAGAAACCTGTTAAAAAATGATGTTATGTGCAACTGGTTGGTTATAATTAGGTAAGAAAAGAGCACCTTGGAGAGGCTGAGTCTCTCAGAAATAAAAACATTTCAAAGGGTCTGGATTTTGTAACCCTATAAAGCCAAATGTGTCATATCTGATCCGGTTTCTTTTGGATGTGAGGCTTTCTGCATCATTCAGTGGTAAAAGCTTTGCTCAAACCCCTGTTGTACACATTCAGATATACCTGATAACAGCCAGTAGAAGACTACACCAACATAGATTTTTTACTTATTGCACGCTAATTTGATCAAAATAATTTCTATTTTTTTTCTTCATATGTTGTTGAGGGGCCAAAGAAAGACTTCAGACTAAAAAAATCCATTATTTGTCCTATTTTTCTTGGATTAGGCTTTAAAGGGTTAACTGTCCCAGAGGCAAACTGGGAGAGTTATTGTTAAGATGGACTTAGATTTAATTGGTCACCTAAGTATTTCTCATAATTTCTTGCATTGTCAGTGTAAACTTGTAATTCAGGTTGAGCTTTCTTGTTCTGTAAGAAGGTTTGGTTGCTGTTCAATATCCAGCTGTAATAAAACTTTATTCAGTTGATGTCACGGTACGAAGCTACCGACTGTTTCTCCGTCATTCTCCTTTATAGATAGCAGTAACATTTATTGTTGGCTGTAAACTTTATCAAAAAGATCCAGTAAACACTTCCCGTAAGAAGAATATGTGTCAGAGGAGGGAGAGATATGATCCGGCACGATAAAGTGAAGTACAAGAAGTCTGCTGTTGCAGGTTTTATAGGAACAATGGACAACGTGTTTTTGGAGGTTATCCAAAGGCAAAATATGTGTAACAAATCCACAATATAAAGTATATTTCTTAACACGTAAACGTGGGAATCTGGACTTACAGGTGTGGAAATGTATGCTTTTATAAGTAGATCATTGAGAAACGTTTCTGACCCACTAACTGGTGAGGGGTTTCTAGGAAATTAACTAATAAAATAAAGTGATATTTGGTATAGAGAGTACAAATAAAGCAAGATTACACACTGTCTTTGGCAAACAACAAACAACCAAAAGGCAAATACCCAGGCTAAGCTAACGGCTAGCTTTCACACAGCTAATGACTCAGCACAATAAAGGCAGGGCAAGTTTATTTTACAGCACATTTCGTGCACAAGACAATTCAAAGTGCTTCACATAGAATTTAAAAGCAGAAAAACAAGAAAAGAAAAATAATCAACACAATAAAGACAACGACAGCACCATCAACAACAACAATAACCGACGATCGTCAACACAAACACGTATGGGATCCCCTCACACTAAACAAATACTTTTTCCTCGGCCCCTGGCAATGAGGATTGCTTACTTTTGATCGCCCCTGGCAACGATCCAATTTCTTTAATCGATCGTTCCCATACAACGATCTAATTTCCCTCCGGCCCCTGGCAATGAGGATTGTTTACTTTTGATCGTCAAATGGTCCTAGCAAAACAACCAAATACTCTCAAACATGGAGGCACTTTGTTTATTAAGAAGCAATATAACTTTACCAAGGGGCTGTAAAATGAAATAAGAATCAAAAGGCAGAAGTAAACAATCCACTTTGATGTTTCTCTGAACACAAAATGGCGGATTAGCATAGCCTAACAGATCGGGACACACTGAGTCACCTCACTTTTGCTCCAGCAATATTGATCACTGCCAGCAGGGGTCACTATAAACACAGAACAGGTCAAGGTAGCTCCTTCGTTTATGCAGAATGAATCTGTTATTGCAGGCCTCTCTGCCTTATGTTATCACAATAATAATCATGATAGTCAGGTGTGAGCCAGGTGTGGAGCCCAGGGCTCTGCAGGTGCCCCGGGTACCAGGAGCAGGTTATTTATTTATTTATTTAATCAGGACAGTGCACATTAATGAACAATCTCATACAGATTGTAAATGAGCCAGATTCTAGCATAGTTGCTAATTTGCATCCGTCCAAACAACACAAAATCACAAAATACAAAATCAGTTAAAACAGAGAGACACATGTTCAGACAATGACATTACAAAATTAAAATTAGTGACTGCATGACTGGAAACTTTTGAGATACAGTTTAAGGTGCTTTTTAAATGTGTGAAAAGTGGGACCTTCCCTGATGTTTGTTGGGAGGCTGTTCCAGAAGTTTCCCCCCTCTGACTGATAAAACGGTTTATCCAAAGGTTGTCCAGCCCCAGTCAACACAGCCGGGAGCCAAGATGCATGGAAAAGAAAAAATAATGATATCTATTAGCTGTTGGTATTATCATGATGACATGGTGATAAAGTAATATAAAATTGTATGTAAAAATGCCTTTACCTTTAAATGCTGTAAATATTTTTACCTGCTAACCTTTAACAAGCAAAGTGCAGGATTTTTTCCATTTACTCTTTTCTAACTTCACGGAAGGTCATAAGTTTAGGATGTACATCAGAAAAGGAGAACAGAGCGTAGCTGAGGATGCGAGATATGACCCTCCTTTCTACAAAAATGTCCAAAGATACGATATGCCTTTGGTATTATGCCTTGTTTTCAGTCTAATAAAAAGCCAAGAGGGGAAGGCAAAAGTGGAAGAGTGTTTGGGATGCTGGCGATGGGCTGCATCAGCTCTTCCCTCTTTGCAAAAAGCTCATACTTCAGAGTCTGTGTCGTTCATTCGCGTTTTCCACTTTTGACGTATTCGAGTGTTTTGAACCTAACACATTGTTACTCATAAATGCAGAATCAACCCACTGTAATCAGCTGCTTTGCATTCTACATCGGTTTCAGTGTTTAATTTTCTTTTTTCCCTCCCTTTTTATTCTGATTTCATCATATTCCATCCATCCATTATCGTTACCCCTTATTCCCTAATATGGTCCTGGGGGGGCGGAGCCTATCCCAGTAGCCAATGGGGAGAGGCGGGGTCACCCTGGACGATCCCCAGTCCATCACAGGGACACACAGAGACACACAAGGACCAACAACCACACACACTCACACTAAGGGCAGTTT